ACGTTGTTATATCTACACGCTGTTTATTAAGCTTTTTTAGTTTGTGCTCGTTTTTTAAAACACGTAGGCACTCTTTTCCAAACTGGGACATTAACGCCCGATATTTCTTTTTTTCCTCTACACTCCAACTGCTTCTCTCTCTTCTAACAATTGCACATGCGTATTTATAGCTTTTTAAGCGAATTGACTTGTTTTCATCATCAAATAAAAAAAACAGAACTTGAACTACATCAAACGATGTGTAATTGTTCACTTTTGCATCTGAGTCTTCTGATCTTGGTAGTCTTTTATAAAGTACTGTATTGCCTATAAAGCGTATAAAATTACTCTTCACAGCAATTGGGGTTTCTAAAAATGACCAATTAAATGTGGTGGAATATACACTATCAGCTGGCATCTGCTTGTGATGGCACGCCAAAAGCGCAACTATCTGTTCGTTGTTTAAATGGATCACCGAAAGTACCCTAAAAATGGAAATTACTAGAAAGTGACTAGGCCGTTGGTTAAGCAACGTAATGAGAGAAATAAATTCACTAGGAGGCAATTCTATATGTAATATCTGCGATGAAAGCTGAACTATTCTAGCCATCACACCGTATACTGCTTCAATTGGCGCATGTGGCAAGAACATAAGAGATTCGGTGAGAAGTGCTCTGGCATGGTCATCTGTAGTGCTCATTAGTAAATAAAATATAAGAAAACTTTTCAAATACTTTAATGCCTTGCCTCTAATGAATCTACACACACTAACACAAAGAAACACTGTTTATACATCACAGTAAATCATACAGCAACATATTCATTCCATCACTTTATGCATAATCAATCACTTAAACTCACAGATTTACTCACAAAGTATATTCTACCTAATATATGCTATACATACACAATTATTATACTACACATATTATTCTACATAAATACAATATACTCTACAATACCTCAATATAAATACTATACTAAACAACATATTCTAGTATTTCAAATATAAATGGACAGAATTTCAAATATAATTCTAATAAATCTACCTCACGCCATAAAGTATACATATCCCAATTAATTATATACACCAATCGTCTAATGAGCCCAAAAATTCCAAAATATACTTTATACTAAATTAATTTAGTATACATTATTCTATACATTCTGAAAATTCCTCTTTTGTGCAAATTTAGCTGCGTTCTCTTATTATCTCTTCCGTTTTTACTCAAACACATTTAATTTTACACTCTACTGTCTTTTCCGACCATTTTCAATATTTATGCATAAATTATTCTTTCTCTTCCTCTCTTTCCATCTCTCTTCTGGTTATTTTTTATTTGTGCTTTTTTCTTTTATACTTTTATTTTTTTAGGAATCTATATTTTATTAATTATATTCTTAAAGGTATAAATAGAGATTTAAAAAATAAAAATTTATTTATGCATAGAGGTAGAAAACATGGCATTATTACATATAAATTAACCAAATAATCAAACAGCATATAGCAGAGAATACATAGAGGGCTGTTTATTTTTAACGCAGTTTCCTATAAATAGTGATAATAGCATATAAAATTTAAATAATGCAAGATACAATTTGTGTATAGATAATCTGAAAGTTACACAGAATATACAGGGCGCATGGTTTGCGCTGTATAAATATACCTATAACTCACCAAGCACTGCCTTTATCTCTTCAATCACTCCTTTTAATTGATTCTCATCTTCTCCTTCAACATATATTCTTATAACATCTTCTGTTCCAGAAGGTCTTAAATGAACTCTAATAGGATGGTACTTGTTTTTTATACTCTCTATAACTAGCTCATTCAGCCTGTCTCTGTTTCCTGGGACACAGGTAAGAATATTTGGCATATTCTGATAGACTTCAAGAAGGACACTTGGAAGAATAAAGTTACTGTAAAATATGCACTCACTCAAAAGCATATTTACAACTGCATCGCCAATAAAAGGATCAAACAAGGCAGACATTGCATAGAGAAGAAGTAGTGCCTCCTGTGGGGACAGGCGCATAAACAGCTCGTTATATGGAGAAGTACTTCTCATTTCCTTTAACCCCAAATTCTTCATGGGCTTTCTTAGTAGTTCATCTACAGTGTCAGATAAATCCGTACCAGACAGATCTAATAACCCGGAATTCTGGGATTCATATCCCAGCATACTTTTAATTACACCAATTATATCATCTGAAAATGATATTGTTCCGTGCCCATTGCTCTCAAACCATACGGTGATTCCTTTCCCGGTCTCTTTTTGCATGTTTTTCACACCAGTGCCTGCTACCTTTACCTCTCCTTTTGCTTTAAGCTCTCTTGTAGCTGCGCCATTCGTATATTCTGTTATAACTGTTGTGATTTTTTCATTTAGGTCTGCAACAGATATTAGATGGGTCAAAAAAGATGAAAAAAGAACTGATAGCCTATCTCCATCGATCAGCTGATTGTTAAGAGGTTTTAAGTAAATTATTCTATCTGCATCACCGTCAAAAGAACAAATTCTTAGATCCTCTGAAACCTTTCCGCCGTCCGTCTGAATATCAATTCTGTTTTGCGACCGAGAAATATCCACTCCTGCTGGTACATTCCCCGTGCTTTTAATATAATCAGAGCCACACTCTTCGTTTAAATCCTTTGTATTTGTAAGAATGGATAAGTCACATATTAGAGAAACAGTGTCTTTTAATTTTGGGTAAATAGTTTTCCCTACCCCATTGGCGCTGTCTAAAACTATTTTCTCTTTTTCTTTTTCACCAAATACTCTTTTTATAATATGTGTGAAGTTTTCCATCCTCTTGTAGTACACGTCAAGTACTTCGGACAGCTGCTTAGACAGAGACTCTGAGTCAGTAACCACCTCGTTTGTTATTTCCCGTGCATAAAGTTCTCTAATCAAAAAATGCATCTGTGGTGTAGTTAGTATCCCCATATCTTTCAAGATATGCGTACTACCAAGAGCATTGCTTGCTTTTAAACACAGCTCAATCATTTCTCGGCCAGACTCTCGTGTGTCCTGTGCAATAACAACAGTGCTTTTTACTCCCTTTATTTTTGATAACTCTTCTGTTATTATCTTGTCTGTTCCATTCACTATTTTGTTGCTCAGCTCTTCGCACTCACTATTCACCATATTTCCATTATAATCCACATATTTAATTCCATTATCAGATGATGGATTATGGGATGCAGTCAAAACCAGCCCAATAGGCTTTCCAGTCTGTGCAGATCTAATTAAACAAAATAAATACGTTCTACAGACTATATCCTTAATAATAGAACTATCTGTCCTGTAACCAGCTGTTCCATATGAGACTGCTTCAGGTTTGGTCTTCTTAAATATTCTATTTAAGTCCATAAGAGTGTAATTGTGTATTACTATAAATTTTTAATATAAAACACTGTAAAGAAACTAACAAATAGCAACTCTGCATATAAAACACAAATCAGCCGCAGAAATAACGGAAATATATGATATACACCAAACACACACCAATCTATACAATCAGTTGATTTTTAAATCATTAATAATTCGAAATAACACAAACACAAGCAAATACACAATTAATAAGTTTAAATAAATCAAAGTATAACCAAGCATATATGCAGCCAATGCCTGGCCACTTAAAATATTTGTTTTCACTTAACGACTGCTGTCTAACTGCATTCAATTATAAAAGTATTCACTTTTTTAAATTTTTGCAAATGGTAGAGGTAAGGATTTATTCTATATACTTTAACAGTGGAATAAAACGGTCTCAAGGAAGAAAAGTCCCATTTAGAAACAACGCCAAGGCAGTCACGCTACAGCAGCTATTAAAAGCACTAAACCAGCTTAAAATAGAGTACACTGTAGAGACTAAACAGCATCCAAAACACTCATACGAACTGTGCGCACAGTTCCTTCCCTCCACATCCAAGCCAGAGGAGGTAGAAAGGCTGTTCAGTACTACAGGAGGTGCTGTTAAAATCACAACAGACAGCAAAAGGCAGCTGATAAAAGATATAGACAACCTATTAAATGGAAGCAAATAAAGAACCGCCAGTAGATCCAATGGCTAATAAAGAAATGATTTAACAACACAGTAATATAAAGAATTAATAGAACTTATTGGTAATGTATTAAAATATTTGTATTAAAATAAAAATATGTCTGAAATAGCTAGTGGAATGGTCGGCGTATATCTACTACCAATCAGTGCAGTGGTAATTTATCTAGTAGGGAAGTATATATTGCACTTAAGAGACTATCCGGTGGTAAAAGAGTTATCTTTCAGCGTTAGCCATAATAAAGAAAAGAAAGAGTAAGCACGCATAATAGAAAACACAAAATACCGTATAGAAATGTATTTGGGTGTAAATACCATAAAATTATTTTATATACTATGTGTAATAAATAAATATATAATACTGGTAATATTTCTACTACTAGTAGTACAAATGGATGGTAACCTGATATAACAAAAATAAGTAATTTTTAGATTTAGATTGTATTTATTTAGTGGTAGGTATATTCACAATGCTATAAATAGATATTTTATAAAAATACTGACCATTAGAATCGAATATCTCATATGTTTTATTAATCTTCGGATCTTTCAAGCTTTGTATAGCTATTTTTTGTAGATTTTGTATCTTTCTTATCATGGATTATTTTTTTGTATAGGTCTTTTCCCGCGGATTTTATTTTGCTGAATATTGAGGGGTTGCTTTCATTTTCACTAAGACATGAGCTTAAATTAGATGATGTGCAGCACAGAGCGTGCTGTGAATATATCATACATATGGGTATAATGCATACCCATGCATTCGTTAGTCTGTAATGCATAAATATTTTCTAAAGGAAATATTCCTGTATAAATAGTGCATAGAATTGAATAACCAACTACATATTAAGAATATGGCATATTTTAATAAATATATAACCAATATATTAATAAACACAGAGAATACTTCCATTCACATATGAAATAAAACAAACTGTGTATATATGTGGATAAATTTCAAGTGTCATTTTAAAACCAGATGCGTATATACAATTTTACAATATGAATAATCTATTGTATACACAGTGCAATACAGTGAAAAATATATCTATAAAACTAAAAAATATTTTATAGGTAAGAATGCAGATAGGGGGGTTTTGTAAAGCGCTTAAGACCGGGGTAATGATTACTGGAGTCTTATTTGTGACAGGAATATGTATATTGACAGGGGTTGAGATAGTAAAGAAATATGTATTCAATACGTCCACTCTTAATACTGCTATAGGTGAAATTCCTGAAATCGATGAAAGTGGAAATAGTATAATTAGTAAAGAGTATGAAGACAGTGCAGAAAAGTGCAAAGATAACTCTGAAGAGAAGGTGACAGGCAAATATGAAGAAGGTAGCAAAGAAAGCATACATTCAGAGAAAAGTAAGCATGCAGAAGAAAAAAATCCTGTGGGACCAGAAAAAAATAATAAAAGAGAAGAAAGTCCCAAAATATTATCCGAAAGTGTTGTGTATGACAAAAAAGAAGATATTAAGAGCAACCCGATAATTTTAGACAGAAAAGAAGCAGATTTAACTATAGGAGGCCATTCAGATGAAAATAATATAAATACTTTAGATAAAGAAACTATGCCAATACGCCAATCAAAGGATCTAAAGGAAGAAGTACCAGCAAATTTGCCAGAAGTTTCAAAGGATAAAGTGCCTGCACAACTACCAGAAATTCCAAAGGATGAAGCAGCAGCACAACTACCCGAAATTCCAAAGGATGAAGCAGCAGCACAACTACCAGAAATTCCAAAGGATGAGATACCACAGTCACCAGAAGTTCCAATGGATGAAGCAGCAGCACAACTACCTTTACAAAAAGAAAAAATGGACAATGGGGCAGACCAGGTATTAAAATCTAATTTTGATATAAGTAACAAGTTTATTAATCACGAATCACACATAACAGAAGAAAAACAAGAAGAGAAACAAATTAACCCTAAAATTCTCAATACAGATGCAAACATTTTGTTTATGCGGGGCGAAGGTACAAAAGATAATGAACTTTAGTCATATCTAGGTATTGAAAGTCCATTGTAAAGTGTAAAAATAAATATTCTAAGACATAAATAAGTACACCACATGTTTTATATATAAATATTTAATAAATGCAGACTATTCTATAAATACCAGAATATTATTTAAAAATATTAGAAAGAGTAGTAAATGCGCATAGTAAATATTTCTTGTAATTTCGGAGTATGTTAAAATATGCACATAGTGTTCCTATATACAAAATGCATTTAAAGCAATTTAAAATAATTAATGTCTACGCAAGAAAGGGTAGCAGTGTATTTAGGATTAGATCTAGTCATATCTAATACCTTGGCTAATTTATACATATTCTAATTAACAAGTAAATATTATGCACTTCACAAATAAAAATTACTTTATTTTGAATGCGATTATGGTATTTATTACTTTATTTTACATAAATATCATGTATTGTGTGTGACTCTACTGTATTATTGGTAGTTTTGGGGATATTCTTCCGATTATATGATTTTTATGTCACATTATTAATAACTTTATAAATACAGTAAATGATGAATTTCACGTCATTGGAGTGTATTCGCGCTTTTTCTGTATAAATTCAGTTTTTAGTGTAATCTGTCCATTTATGCTACGCTCTACTGAATTCATAAATATTTTATTATTATTTTTATCCTATGAAGAATCCTCCCTTTCTTCCAATTGGAAGCATAATCCATGATAGAGATACGAATGAGTCCTTTGAAATAACTGAAATGATAGGGCGAGGAGGATTTGCCCAGTGCTTTTCCGTGCGGAATTTAAAAACACAGGCAGTATTTGCTGCCAAAATAATTAAGAAATCAGAATTAGTCCGGGCAAAGAATAAGCAGAAGCTACTTTCAGAAATAAAAATTCATCTGTCGGTGAATCACAAGAACATAGTAAAGCTCTTCACATATTTTGAAGATAAAGATTTTGTATTCCTTATTATGGAAATATGTCGGAACAAGAGTATGATGGATCTTCTGAAAAGAAACAAGTCAATAGAAGAGAAATATGTAAAAATATTTCTGCTGCAAATTATTTCTGCTCTGGAGTATCTACATAGGGAGTGCTCTGTAGTCCACAGGGACATGAAGCTAGCAAATCTGTTCCTGGATGATGGGTTTAACATAAAGGTGGGAGATTTTGGGCTGGCGGCTGTTATAGACAGAGAAGAAAGAAAGAAGACCATATGCGGTACACCGAATTATATTGCACCAGAGGTACTTTTTGGATCGGAGGGCGGCCACTCTTTTGAGGTTGATATTTGGTCGGTTGGTGTGATAATATATACGATGATAGTTGGCAAGCCACCCTTCCAGAAGAGTGATGTAAAGGAGATATATAAGTCTATAAAGACAAACAGCTACACGTATCCAGAAGACTGTAGGATTTCAAAAGAGGCGAAAGATTTGATTTCTGGATTGCTTGAGCTAGATCCAAGGAAGCGGTATACGCTGGAGCAGATATACACTTCTCCTTTTATTTTGAATGGGTATAGTGCTTCTGTAGGAAAGCACCCCGTGCCTTTATATAACGAGCAGGGGCAAGCACAGCACACAAGAAGCCCTACACAAATACAAAGCGAGCCAAGAGTGCCAATCTCACAGAATGAACCGCCCAGGGCCACTAGTACTCTGCCGATTTCAGATAAACCAATGGGAATATCTCGAATGGGCAGTACAGCTGCCAGAAGTAATATAGCAAGCAGCACTCTGCGGCCAGCGCCCATCAAAATGGGCCTTCTCTCATCTGTCCACATGACGGTCCTTTCTTTGCTGAATAAGTATGAGAATTCTTCTGTTCCTATAAGTACAAGATGCCCAGATGATTTTGTTACACATACTGTAGACTACACAGATAAATATGGTTTGGGATACATGCTTACTTCTGGAACAGCCGGGATCTTATTTAATGACTGCACATCAATGGTCTTGAGGAAGACAGCGGTTGATCTTATAAGAAAGAAAGTGCCAAACTATGAGTTTGAGTATTTTGAGCACAAGGTGTATGGAACCCAGAAAATTATCACAAAAGAAAAGTATACAGTTGAGACTGCCAGCGGCAAATTGGACAAGAAAATACTTTTAGTAGGACATTTTATACAGGGTCTATTTAAACAGCACGGCCAAATGAGCAGTAGAGTATCTGACCAGACAACATTTGTTATTAAGCATGTTAACTTTGCCAAAGGTCCTGTGCTCAGACTAAGCAATCGAGTCATTGTATTTATAGTTGATGAAAGCGTTCTTGTATTCCACAGCGAAGGAAGAAGTATATACTATGAAGGGCGACAATATATAGAAAGGGACATGTTGGTATACTGCCAAGAGGTTCTATCTATACTTCTTAAGAAGTAATGGCGTATTACAGCTTTGTGCTAAAATCTAATGAATTATAAATAATGGATATTTTTACCCAGGAAAGTACAGCACAGCTTTCACAGTTAGCAGATTTGGTAGGAATTAAATTCAAATAAATATCAAAATTAGTATTATTATGCACGTTAAGAATGTAATTCTTTGGTTAAAGCTCTTTTTATGTGAGTAAGTCCTGATAACAAATGCATTCTAAATAAAATGCTTTCTACAGATAGCATTATAATCTGTAAACAGCCCAAAACAATATTGAAAGGTGCTTAAATCCTAGAAGCTTTAAAGTAGGTGCACATTTCTTTTACATATATATTTATTTGTATTTTAATGTGTCTTTCAGCATTACTCTGTTCTTGTCTCTTTATGCGAAAGTCTGTTATATTTTCGCATCTGTTTTATTTTTTTATGGAGGCGTACTTGTCCCGAATAGAAGCACGAAAAGTGGAAGAGCAGTCAGAAATTCTGTCGTATAGAATAAATCATATCGATCCATCTGTGCTGAACGCAATGCGCCGTACAATCATATCGGATGTTCCCACAGTTGCCATCCATTGGGTGTACATACGAGAAAACGAAACTGTCATGGCAGATGAAATACTTTCCCACCGCCTGGGGCTAATTCCAATAATAGCAGACGCTGAAGATTTCGAGCGAGTCGTTAAAACTCCAGAGCTTGACCCGTTCACTGAGTTAACAGACAAAAACTCAATACAAATGGAACTAGTTATCACTAATAACACAGACAAAATATTAACAGTGAGATCTAACGACATAAAAATCCTTTCAAAAACAAATGCAGCAATCAAGCAGAATGTAATTATAACTAGACTTGTTCCAGGGAAGAAAATAGAGTGCAGACTCTTTGCAATTATAGGAACCGGGAGAGAGCACTCAAAGTGGATGCCTACTTCTGTCTGTTACTACAGAACGATTAAAAAACTGGAGATGAAAGACCCATCCAAAGCAGCTGAAATACAAAAGTATTTTAGAGACGGATTTTCTGTCAGAAATGGCCAAGCCATAGTAGATGAGGATAAGTTACTGGTAAACATGGACATAGAAAAAAAGTATCCAAATGAAATAAAAATACATACGGAAAGCGACTCATTCCTATTTGAAATAGAAGGAATAACAGCATCTCCAGAGACAATACTCAAGAAAGGAATAAGAATCATAAAGGATAAGCTAAAAGAGCTAAAAATGGCCACAGATAATAAATAAACATATTCTACAAATAAATCACTACATACTACACCAAACAGTTCAATATATAAACTTGTACAGCGCATCCTTCGCCTGATTATAAACTATTTGGCGTATTATTTGATTATATTTCAGATTGTATCTAAATGCTTATCTAGTATTCCTCCACCATTTATTTTGTTTAAACAAAAAATCAACTCTTTATTATTAAAGCAGTAATATTTACTAGTAACTCTGAATTTATTTCGGATTATTTCTATTCTTATTTCTTCTTAATTATTCAATCTACTCTACATGATTTTTTTTCAGTTCTTTGATGTATTTTATAACAGACTTTTTGTCCTTCTTTTTACAAAGACTCTCTAAATACTCTATGTCCAAATACTTTTCATCAATATCTTCTTTTGAATTATTTACTTCTTCTGTTCGCTTTTCCTTCTTCTCTAATACAGCTTCTTTTTTTGCGCTCTGTGCTTTGATTTCCTCGGGTTTCATGTATAATAACTTCTCCATCTCGTTGTACTTTGTGGTTAGAACTCCAGCAGCTTTTTTTAGTCCGGGTGTGCCGTGTGCAGTCATTGAATCAACTCTTTTCCTTCCAGTTTTTAAGACCTCCTTCAGTGCTTTCTTTACACTTTTAATTTCTTGGTCTTTATTAGAGTCTTCAGCACAGCTCAGCTTTACTGATAATTCATTCAGCATGTACATTATAAATAAATTTGTATGTGCATTGCTGTTCTTGCTCTCTTTCAGAATAACATCTAAAATTGCCTCTAACTCGCCTCTAAATAGCATAATGTACTCTATTATACAGCTCAGTGAGTCATACGTAGGCTGTATACTTCTAATTGAACTTATTAAATGCTCTCGGCTTAATAGCATGGCAAATAAAAATGTAAAAAAATAAATGTAAATCAAAAACAATGAAATATCATAGAAATATCATTAAATGCAGATGTCTTTATAGTATTCCGTGTGTTTTTATACTTATTATACTGCCCTTTAATTAAATATTAGTATACTTAGTATTCTGTCTAAAAATATGTTATAACCCGATATAACCCGAAATTCAAATTTCCCATTGTTAGCTGTAATATAAATTTATTGCGACTAGAAATATTTTAAAATATATTTTTATATCAATATATGCGTGTTATATGATATTATATCATCACATTCACATATCATCATATCAATCACTAAATATATTATAGCATTATCTCTCACTATCATATTTTCTATATTCATATCTTGTATTATCACTACACCATGCATATTATGCTATATTGCACGCCTTCTTCTATCCTATACTCTTCTGCCTTCATTTTCTGCTGTGCTAATAATTTATTTAATGCCTTTTGTATTTAGTCTACTTTATATCTGTAGCTATTTTTATTTTAATATTAGAAATACACAATAAATCATATTTATAACATGTCCCTTTGCATAGAAGAATAATTAGAAACATTTCTAAGATATTCTATTACTTGTGGGTTTAAACCCTTATTATGCGTATATAAATATAGAAATACTTAACAACTCAATACTGTATAATATATTCTATAACCATTAATATATCATGTATATGATAAATACAAGATGGTCCTCTAGTAATACTCTGTGGCAATAATGCCTTCTTTATATCATATTTTATATAAATTTATATTTATATATAAACCTTAATATAAATTATTTTACTTTTTTAATTTTAATGGGTTCAGCGATTTCCAAGTGTTTAAACCGAGAGAAGAGAAGTGCAGTATTTATAGGAGCAAAGGATTCAGGAAAGAAAGAAATAATAAAGATACTTAGAAAAGATAAAACAGATGTAATAAGTAATATGTATGAACATTTCACAGTAAGAGGCAAAGGTTACTCTACTGAAGTATATGCCATATCTGAGGATCAGAACCATGTTAATTTTTGGAAGTTTTATACACAAAACTGCAATTTGGTTGTCTTTGTAGTGAATATTGCCAGTGAATCACTGATAGAAGAGTCAAAGAATGTTTTTGAGAATTTCTTTACATCCTACGGGACAAATAAGGAGAGTATTGTGTTTATGCTTAATGGCAAGAGAGAAGAAGAAACAGAAACAGAAGAAGAAAAAGCAGAGAAGAAAAGACAGAACATTTTAAAATTCAAAGAGTACTTTGCAACGATTTCTGGTCTTGATAAGAAAATACTTGATCATAATATGGTAGTTGATGAAACCACAAGCAGAAAGAATTTGCTATCTTTTATATGTAAGAATTATAGCTAAATAATGTGATAAGTAATAAATAATCTTATTTTGAATTTAGACGGTATGGTGTGTAGTGTGTTATTGGTAATAGGATATGTTATAGAGTGTGCACAGCAGGCTGTGTGGCATAATAAAGCATTTTGGAATTTCGCAAAATACCACAGATTGCTATTTCAGAATATGTCTGTGCATATATTAACATTTGTGAAATTCTTCTGCTGTGTATGAGCACCACAGAGCTACAAACGAGAACCGTAGTGGCCAGTTAAGACATTTCATATTTCCTTGTATTTGAATTTGGCAAAAAGCACTCTTCTTAATCTTCCTTCTTCTACGGTACATGCGCGGACTGATCTTCTGCCAGAGTAACGCTGCAGTGTTTTCCACCCTCGCGCAGTCCCCCTTGATTAATCCCCTCTGCGCCTGCCTTAAGGCAGACCCTTCAAGAACAGAAACACACACACATGAATTGCATCCCGATGCTCAAAGAAGGAAGGAAGAGTACTTGCGCCATTTTATGCTTTTTAGAGCTAGCACACTATTATATATGTGCGAAAATATATATACGTGAAAATCCAATAAAAAAATAAAGTGACTGTTTCTGTATAAAAAAATAGCAAAAATAATTTACAGAATGGAAGAGTGCCCTATTAGCATGTTCTTAGAGAGAATAAAAGAACTGCCGGATGACAAAAAACACCGGGCGGATGTTCTCCTGGCAATTTTTAAGTTGCTGAATGAAAGTGAGAAAAGGGCTCTTTTTTCTTTAATGACTAGTAACATATCTGTTCGTAGAGTGCAGGGCGACCACGTAAGAAAACTTCTTCTTTTGGAAATACTTTCCGTTGAAAGCGAGTATTACGTTCTAAACAATGAAATCAGAAAAAGGGTTCTTCTGGCGTGCACAAAACCAGTTGAAGAAAGAGTGCTGGTTAAGGTAGACGCGCCTGTTTCTGAGCTGCTGCATAAAGAGAAAGGGGCGGCATCGAGTGAGGTGTACAGCAATATGCTGTATAAAACTATTTCGTGCAAACCAGATGCAAACACCACAATTAGAAGATTAATGCTAAATACAAAGATTATTAACAAGGAAGGTCTGACACACAAAGGGTTTAACTTCCTTCTAACGGGGAAGAAGCGGCAGCTGTGGACACTACTCCTTGCACATATACAAGAAGACCCAGAGACAGCGGAGAATGAGATTTTGGTGCTATGCGAGCTTCTAGTTAAAGACCCAAAAAGAACATATGCCGTGGATAGGTCACAGAAATCAAAGCTACTGGGACTGTTTGAATCACTGGGATTGATTTTTTTTGAAAAGGGGCTTGTTAAGTTCTCTCCCACCTTTTCTTTGCTCTTTGATGATGAAGAGGGGGCAGAGAAGTTTCTTGTTTTGGAGAGCAACTTCCGTCTGTATATATACAGCAACAGGCCTCTTGACACCTTTATTATCTCTCTATTCAGCATAAAAAGCAGAGAGTTTCCTAATATGATTGTCGCTATGATCAATGAAGATAGTATCCGGCAGGCTCTGATGCATGGAATAACAGCAGGGCAGATAAGAGTCTACCTCAACCAGAACAGTATGTACGAAATAAATGAAAATGTTATTGAGCAAATACGCCTATGGGAGAAAAGAATGAACAGAATACACAGTTGGGAATCGTACATCTTCAGTAACTTCTTAAACTACAAGGACTTCTTACTTGTTGAGTCGTACTGTGAGAATAATAATATAGACCACAGGTCATATAGAGAAAAAAGAATGCTTGTAGTTGGCATTGAAAATTATGAGAGCGTTAAGAGCTTTATCAGAGTAAGTATTAAGTAGTGCACACACTTTTATACTGCTCTATTATATAGGAGTTTATATATTACTGGATAAATATGCTATAATGGGTATATGCGTATTTCCTAAATAGTAAGGGTTCATTATATAATTCCATTATAGGAATATCTACTTCTTTCTACTAAAACACACTTTCTGCTTAAACTGTCTCTGGATAAACAGCTTGTTTATGAGATTCTGCAGACTCTGCAATAGAATGGTCTATTTCGCAGAGCTATTAAGAATTAGATGCATTAGTTAGTTTTTTAATATAACCCTTTGTAAGAATTAAAGACATATTATTATTCCATAGAGAACAAAGAATGGAAGAAATGCAAGGAAGAACGAGAAGAAGGAACTCAGAGCTGTCTTCTAGTCAGATAGATCAGCTGGATGCGTATTTCTATCGGCATGACATTAAGTTGACAAAGAAGAATCTTAAAATTGTTTCTAAGGCACTGAATATCCCACATAAACGAATTGTAGAATATGTCAATTATAGACAGAAAGAGTCACGTGAAAGCAGTCATGAGGAATATATAAAGATGATGCAAACTCTCAGCGATATAAATATGCAGATAAAAGATATTTGGAAGGGATTTGACAGTCGATATAAATAAATAGGACTTATTATGCACTTATTTTCTCTATTATATTCTGGAGTGTTTCTTATAATCGCGCAGTCTTTCCAGATTCTTATATTACAGCGAATTTTCTGTATGTTCTACTAAAGAATTCTTAGGTGTTTTATATAAAAAGTTCAAGTTATATCTGATTTAGATTTGTATTTTGTGCCGGTTTGGCAGGATGAATAGAGTTTTAATGAATTTCAAGTTTTAGGGTGGTTGGGGTATATAATGCAGCATTATATTAAAAACTGAATTTATATTTTAATTTAATACTTATATGGAATATTATAGGGCTCCAGTTTTATTTTATACTAACAGAGAATAAACAGCATAACATTTTGGTATCTAATGAAATTTGAGTTACTTGGAATTGCTTGTTTAGTTGCTTCACTAGTTCATGTGCTAG